GGTCGGAGGGGGGTCCCCGCAGCTCCTCCCTCAGCTGCCTCAGCCGCCGGCTCTCCAGCACCCGCGGGAGCTCAGCCCTGTGCCGGGGCAGGATCCCCCTGCGGAGACAGACAGACGGACTTCAACAGGGCCACCCCTACCTGGCCACCCAGCTGGGGACCGTCCCGTCCCCACGCCCCGGGTCCCATCCGTGCTCACCTGCTGTGGCTGAAGAGCAGCTCCCGGTGCAGCTCCCGGTGGCTCCGGGACTCCCGCATTGGGTTTGGCAGCTTCCTAGGCTGGATGAGGCCCCCATGGCCATCGGTGGCCGTGTCCAGGGAGAGGACATCACTCCTGTCACCCTCTGGAGAGGCAGCGGCATGCAATGGGGTCACCATGGGATGGGGCCACCAGAGGCATGGAGTCACCAGAGGCATGGAGTCACCATGGGATGGGGTCACCACGGGATGGGGTTACCATGGGACAGGGCCACCAGAGGCATGGGCTCACCATGGGATGGGGTTACCATGGGACAGGGCCACCAGGGGCATGGGGTCACCATGGGATGGGGTTACCATGGGACAGGGCCACCAGGGGCATGGGGTCACCATGGGATGGGGTCACCATGGGATGGGGCCACCAGGGGCATGGGGCCACCACGGGCATGGGGTCCCCAGGGACATGGGGTCATCAGGGAGTGGGGTCACCAGGAGGGCTGTGGTCATCAGTGGGAGAGGGTCACTGGGGACAGGGTCATTGGGGTATGGGATCACCATGAGGGATGGGACAACCTGGGACAGGGTCACCAGGGGATGGGGTGACACTGCCCGGCTCCACATGCCAGCGCAGGGTGAGATCCTGGACCCCAGCCCCCGTGTCCCCCAGCCGGGGGCGTCTCGGGGTGTCACAGCCCAGGGTCCCTGCACACTGCCTTGCAGCACCTGGCACCCTCCAGGATCCCTGTGTCCAAGTACCCCTGTCCCCAGGCCACCCTATGGTCCCCATGTCCTCCCATCACCCCTTGGGGTCCCCATCGTCCCTTGGGGTCCTCATTATCCCCAGGGTCCCCATCACCCATTGGGTCCCCATCACCCCTGGGGTGTTCCTCATCCCTCAGGGTCCCCATTACCCCTTGAGGTCCCCACCGCCTCCAGGGTCCCCATCACCCCTGGGGTCCCCATCACGCCTGGGGTCCCCATCACCTCTGGTCCCCATCACCCCCAGGTCCCCATCACCCCTGGGGTCCCCATCGCCTCCAGGGTCCCCATTGTCCCTGGGCTCCCTGTCACCCCTGGTGTCCTCATCACCCCTGGGGTCTCCATCGTTGCCAGGGTCCCCATCACCCCTGGGGTCCCCATCACTCCCAGGTCCCCATCACCTCTGGCATCCCCGTCACCTCTGGGGTCCCCATCACCCCTGGGGTCCCCGTCACCTCCAGGGTCCCCATCACCCCTGGGGTCCCCATCACCTCCAGGGTCCCCAGTGCCCCCAGGGTCCCCATCCTCCAGGTGCCACAGCCCCAGCCCCGTGCCCCAGCGCCGGCAGCACCCACCCGGCACCGCGCTGCTCCTCGGGGCTTTGTCGTCACCCTGGCAAAGGCAAAGAGTGGGGTCAGCGAGGGACACCCTGGGTCCTCCCTGGGCTGGGGACACGGCGGGGGACACTGCCAGGTCCCTGCTCGTCACCCCCATGGGGCACAGGAGGGGGTGCAGCCATGGCTTCTCCGGGGTTGGACGCCCTCTGTCCATCCATGGCTGTCACCCGTGGGGACAGAGTCACCGCCCAGTGTCCCTCCCCGCTGGGAGCTCGGGATGGCTGTGGCGGCTGGGTGCAAGGGAGGGAGACGAGAATGGATATGCTCCACGTTAACTCTGGAACCTAAGGATGGCGAGGGGTCCCCAGGCTTAATGCCGGGGGCGGCATGGGGACAGCCAGATGTTTGGCTCTGTGACATCGACATGGCACCTGGGGACAGGTCTCAGGGTGGCCCCCGTTGTCCCCTCCCACCCCCAGCACAGGAGATGGGGGCCCAGCCCAGGGCACGGGGGTGTCCCTGTCCCCCATGCGTCCCAGCCAGCTGCCACCACTCACCCTCTTGCTCTGCGACAGCCCCATGTCCCCGATGTCGGTGGTCCTTGTCCCCGCGCCCTGGGGGGCCAGGGCACAGGGACACGGGCCGGGCGCCGGCTCCACCGAGCCTGGCTGCTCACACCGTGTGCTCCGCCGGTGACGGTGATGGTGACAGTGACGGTGATGGTGGCCCTGCTCCTATCAGCAAAAGCCATTAAGCCCCGGGATTAGCCCTGACGGAGCCAAGGGGACGGTGACACGTGTCCTGCACAGGGCTGGTGGCACTGTGCCTGCTGCTGCTGCTGGGGACACCGGGCCCATGGGGGGCACTGGGTCTGCTGGGGACACTGGTCTCACTGGGGGCACTGGTCCCACCGGGGGCACTGGGTCTGCTGGGGACACTGGTCCCACTGGGAGCTCTGGTGCCACTGGGGGGACTGGGTCTGCTGGG